ACTTTTTTTCATTTGGCACTGTGGTAGACAAAAGATTCATAGCATTAGCAGCTAAGCATCATTTATTTGCAGCATATCACAAGCCTAGCAACAACAATTACTCGTATTCCTATTGACATTTCCTCTAGGACTTTCTAAAAACTTTGATTAACTTATTTAATGAGTGTTAAAGAGGGATAAAACTTATGTTGATTTTGATCTTGTCATGTGTAAAATACATGTGTACGTGTAGCCCACAGTCACACACTAGCAATAGCATACACCACAAAGATCCGCGCGAATAATTGGTTGATGATCAAATAATACGCGTGTACCAATTTTCGGAGAGCTGTATGAAACAGTCGACGCCCCTTGTCAGCCTTGAGCCAAAAACCTAATTTAGAGGGCATATTTGTGCTTTATTTCTAGGATCTGAGGCACAATTTTAAGACGTGGGCCCCATGTAAAGCCTATTATACGAAATACAAGACTTCCATAATGTGTGTGGGGGGACAAACCCTATTGTGTCCCCCACCCTTAAGAATTTGGGGATGACGTGTCCCCCTGTCCACCCCCTGATTGACGCCCATGTGTCTGGTGAGCGCCTTTGTCCCTGAATGCACTGGTAATGGTTTAAATCCCTCGAGAGAGGTTGAAGGCGATACATGTTTCCTCATAAGACATCTCGGCATCAACGCTAATTAGCTTCTAAGAATCATCCATGATACTTGAAACCATGTGCTTCTACATCTCATTCAGAGGCTAGTTAAAAGTGGTGACCTAAAATGCAGAAAGTTGTCCCTGTGATATGACTTCTAACGACATATATATTTATATATTATAACTATAACAGACGAGAAACTGAAAAAGCCTTCCATTCATCAGGAATAATGTGCACAAAGACTACATCACATGATGGGTAACACACCTAATTAGTGTTACGACATCATGAACAATAAACCGATTAGAGTGCTTGCTTGTAAAAGAGATTAATCGATACTATGATGAAACGGTTTGGCGAGGTTGACGAATCGGTTCCAGAAATCGGAACTATTTTTTCCCTTAAACATTAATGTGGCGAATATTTTGTCCTGAAATGAATAGGAAAATGTACCATGTTAAAAATTGTCAGTGACGAGCTATAGCAGTTATTACTCTAGATGTTTTATATGTGAAAGATGGCGTAAACATCCCCTCTCCCGTATGTTCCCTAACTTCGGATGCAGTATACATTATTTTATTCTTGAAATGTAACTCGTTGTTTTAAAAATTAGATTATCGTGTTTGCGTAAAACTAAGTCACTTAAAATGATTCTTAGTGAGCGATTATTTCATGCATTATGATATCTTAATCAGTGAGCCATCGTTTATTGCTTCTTAATGGTTTACGCACGAGCTCAATATGCGTTAATGGAATATTAGGAGAATGTACCTGATTTTATAATAATCTAAATCGGTGCATTATAAGGTATACCATTATGGAGAATATTAGCCCTACTCTCCTGGTTGTTACATGCCAATCGAATTCGATGGCAACTATGCAGAGAGTTGTGAACAGTTACTTGCTTCGATCGAGGAAGGGGTGCACTGTAACTCTTTCCTTTCAAAGGAAAAATCTAGATCTTACACAAAACGGAACCAGCTGCAATTTCACTAGCATCCGATGAGTGATTTTGAATGATAATACAAAATTAATATTATTGATAGCATGATAATGATGATAAATGTGTTTTCTTTATCGTTCTCCAGGCGTACATTTATAATATTTTGATAAAATGTATCTTGCATATTCACTATTGTTGCGCCCAGGTCGAAAGTATAGGATAAATGTCCGCGTTACGAATTCATATGTTATTATTATCATTATTCACATTTTATGATATTACTGATTGTGGTTTGAGAAATTTGAAAGAAACTGCAATACTTTAAAGACCATTTCCGATAAAAGTACAACTTTATATGGATGGAAAGCTAAATAAACGTAGAATAAAAACATTAAGGAATATAAATATTATCCCTGTCAGTATTGCACAAAAACAAATTAAAAATTGATTTCACGCACCCCTCAAAGTTACGGGTCAACGAGGTTCAAATTTACCGCAGTTAGGGTGACAAAATAACAAGTTCGGGTCGCCTATATAGCTGAGGCGATGAGCTGTGCTTAATGAATACAAAATAATTTTGAATATGCGTAATCCACATAAGATGGTGTCATCAAGACGACAGCTAGATTTTTAGGTCGATAACTTTTGATATTCAAAGCTTTAGGTTTTGAATTTTCAGAGAGCTGTTACTCCTCTGACAGATAATAAAATATAGCATATAATGATGTTATTGTAATCTATGGCTTATAAGCTTTCCGTTGACATATAATTCATCTATTTCATTTTCACTCCAGACAGGGTCTATTAACCTTGTCAAATAAACTAAGAACTACTTTCAAAATGTAAAGGAAAAGCAAGCAACATCACTTTAGACGTTTTATATTTTTCAGTAAGTGATGATTTTTAAAAAATCATGAAGTTGCAGAAAGACATGGGCATAATGTTATTGCAGGGTGCAGTTAGTTTCACAGGGTACATTAAAGACCTTGAGTACACATATTCACGATTCAAGATAATATCTGTCACACTCCCTTCCACTTTAACTCAATACGTGAGACTCATTTGCTGTGACATGTGCACGAACTCAATAACGAATCTGTGATTGGTTGACATGCATTAAAATGAAAAGAGAGACAGTTGTGATGTAATTAAGATTGCAACCAAATAGCAAATCCTTGGAATCTACTATTGTCTCATTTGAATAAATCGGTCGATTTTCACTCTCGAAATCCGGTTCGTTCTCCACAGTGCTAAAGAAAATGCGGCGTTTTAACTTGCTCCTTGCAAGCGTATGTATAACAAGGTAACAAGGAGCTTCTTATTCATACGCTACGACTGATGTCGTCCTTCCGCCTTCCGTGAATGCGTGTAGGTATGTTTGCGAACGTGTACTATCTGTCGCACATAATACGTCGTTCGATGACGTAAGGCTGCGCCAGTGACTGGTGAAGACTTTGGCTCGATATGCTTTATACAAATACGGGAATGCAAAGTGAAAGGTGAAAACACTGCGTTGAATTACTAGCGTTTGTTTTAATTGAATTTCAAGGCTTTACTAGGTAGTAAGGCGATCTTAGTGACGCCTTGGGTATAACGGGCATAATTTCAGCTGTTGCGCCAAACCTGATACTAGCCGTTTATTTTAATAGCTCTCGTCACCTATACACTGAATAATGCTTCATCAGTTTTTCCAGCCTCTTATCATTATGAGGAAGAAGGGTGGGTTTTACGTGTGAGTTCGGTAGGAGTGTATTCTATCCAAAACACCCTTTCCCTGTTGTTCTGCAACTAAAATACATTTCTGATGCTTTTTAGACTACCTTGGTGTTCCAATATAATTTGAGGTATTGGAATTTCCATAACATTTCGAACTAAAACCATGATATATTTACTATACCAATTGTCAACAATGCTCAATCGTGTTTGCTATTACCTAACGCTATAATTGAATTACATCTAGCGGTGATGTGTTATTGACCATTATTATTTTATCAAGATTGAAGAAAGTCGTTATCTATCGTCAGCTTCGTCTTTATTTTGCAACGAAGTTCTGACATTTATTATGAAAATCGTTTCGCTCAGCTTATTTGGCAGAGCGTATTTGCGACGCTCGAATTACAGTCACTTTATATTTAGGTGCGCAGACGCTCCGTATTCAGTTTTGTCCGTTTAATAAGGAGGCGTCATTTTGCTGAAGCAGTACTGCGTCAACAACCGGTGCGGTGTTTCACGCTCCATGCAAGATTGACATCGCTCGAAAAAGTGAATGCAAAATTAACGATTCTATCATTGTTTGACTTACTGGCTCATGATTAAATCTTCTTCAAATGCTGGACTAGCGTATTGACCAAAGCCATTCGAATTGACGCCTTGTGTGTGAAGAGCTTTGCGTTCATATAACGAGCTGTTGCTTCTAATGAGACAACCTTCAAGGAAACATTAGTATCACAGTCATCTCCCCGCATTAGCACAGAATGCCTCGCCAACTCTTTATAGCCCGGAGCAATAATTATTGCACTTAGAATATTTTCTGTTCTTACTAATATGCTTTATAATGGCAAGTTGAAATATGACATCTGGAAAAAGAATATTATAAAAGAGAGGAAAATAATTAAAGAATGAGAGAGAGGGAGAGAGAGAGAGAGAGAGAGAGAGAGAGAGAGAACCATACCGGAGGAAGGATATACGGCAGCAAAATGTCCAGGGTTTAGTTGGCGAGTAAAATATACGCTAATATTTAATGTTCATAATAGTTATTGAAATCGTTGTGCACCACTTTATACTACATAAGTGTACATTCAATTTTACAAGAAAGTTGCTAAGCTGTCAGTCCTGTACACTTCCCCCAAAGCTTTGAAGATGATCTAGTCGTTATGATATTAAAACCAGGTAAATTAAAGTTAGCCTATACGGGAATGCATAAACTAAATACAAATCGGGACTTCTTCTATAACACAAACAAAACAGCCTTTGAATGGCTAAATCTAGTAGTACTGAAACATTTAAACTGTTTGTTGGTATACCAGTATAATGAACGTCATTAAGGATAAGACATATGAAGTATGGCTGGAAAGAAATTTTTTGTTTGCTCATATTTACGTTGATTGTCACTGTAATATTTAGAGTGTTTTAAACAAACATCTAAGACCATGTTATTGGTAGGGACTTTGGATCTTTCCCAACTTCAGCAAGTTCGTGCTATGAAATCGGCATTTTTCGTTGTTTTCACAACATTTCTCTACAAAAATCCTTATACGCTATAGCTGTTCATTCTTCTTGATGGCATAATCAGTCATTCACAATGAAAACAATGATATACATTCAAAAACACAACATAAACATGCTACTCATCCGTTTCAAGTATAGAAACCGTCAATAATATTTACAAAGATAACATCACGGTATACATATACTTACATATATACAAGTGGAATTGTGTATCCAAGCGAGCGATTGCTACCCGCTTTTCTCTTTCCCTGTCACGTCCTTCCTCGTTGGTAAAAATTTCCTCTTCTTTTGCAGGAGACTCAAAAAACCGTCGAGAGCGCCGTAGGTTTTAAGCCGTTTTTTCCCGCCTAGTTTAATGTCAAGCGCCGTCTTTCTTTCCAACTATCTCCCGTTTAGCCTCCCAGCCTTTTACCCATAGGCAATGGATATCTCAAAAGGGGAGGGGAAAATGATAAATGGCCGGTTTTCCTCTTTCTCTACCCGATGATGATCACTTCTTCCGATATTTTATTCATGACTGTGAGACGTTTAAAATGATCGTTCATTATTTTTCTTCCCCATCTAACGTTATTTCGCGACACGGACAGTCGGGATTTATTCGCCGCGTATTATTCCATGCATGCACACACACACAGCTACCCCTACCCACGCATAGATAAGTCATCAGCGTATGGCTAGCAGATATCTCAAGACAAAATTATGACGTCACGACTTTGCGCTATTATCGAAGCAGGGCCTGTGGCTTCCTTATCTTATGGACCTGCAGGAAGTAGGACAGAATCGTCACTTTGTAAATTATGAAATCCACAAATTGATATTTATGATTCAAAGTTATAGTAAGAGATATAATAGGGAGATCTATACATCTATATATATCTTTTTTATATCTTGAATTGCCTTTGATACATCAGTCTCTATGAAAGTCATGCATTGACGTCAAAAATGTTCTGTACTAACATCCCTCCAAATTATTTCGAATCATAGAAAATGTTGATGTATTTAAAATAGTAAGTCTTAGCATGCACGTCAGAGCAAATATTCTTTCTCAACATTCATATTTTCTTAACTTACCATTTTTTCATCATAGTGTCAATTTTTGACTTTTTTAAATTTTGTTATAATCGAGATTGTCATTTGCACCATAAATGACAAGTAGGTAGAATACAGCAATTGTAATGACATTATGCCCGCCCCTTCTGAATCAATATGATGTACAATGGATACACATCTCCCAGAGCTGTCTACACCCCGGCCTCCCCCCCCCCCCTCCCTCCCCTTCACTCCTCCGTTCGCGAACGATTCCGCCCCTGAATTTTAATATCTTGAAACGCCACAGGCTGCACTGACCAAACGTTTTAAGCAAGACCACTGATTCGATAAATATGATTATGGTGCTCGCAGTAACAAAAGCATTACTTCCAACATTGCACACATTTAGTACACCTGGGTCGAGAGAGGCAAGTGTCCACCTATGTCTTCCCAAAGTATATATGTATCATGCCTTCGCTTAAACGACCAGTTTGATACCACAGCGTGGAACAATTTTCGGCGTGATTTTTTAAATCATACTTCATGATAATGTTTTGCAGCATTTATTCTAATTTGATTTCACTGCACTTACACATTTATCAAGACACAAATCGCCCTCTATGATTACTTAGATTGCCAAAACGCCAAATAAATTGTGAAATTATTGCATTTGTTAATAATTATACGCAATGAAATGGTTATCATTTAGGCGGGTTTGAGAAATCCACTCTTTGTTAGACAAATCATAGTGTATAGGATATTTTAACTCAAAAGGTGCACCTGTACTGCTATAACTTTAGTTGTGATGAAATGTAATAACATAGCCGAACATTTTCATTGGAAGCCTCAAGTGAAAAGAAATAGCTTACTTAATTAAACAAGAACGAGAAAAGGGTGAATCAAAGGTTAAAGGAAGACGGCAAAGGGCAACATGGTAGAGTAGTGTTTCGTGTTGGTGCTAATACACTAATGCAATAAATACACCAAGAGCCAGACACTTAAAAACTAACAAGAGACGGAAATATCAAGACGTGGTCTTTACACCGTTATATACAATCTGCCGGGTTGAGTTTTAGCTCTAATTGCATAGTTTGATTCGGCCGAATGGCGTGTTTATCTCTAGGTATCCCGACCGATATATCAATTAATAAAAGGCTCTGTCGTCAAGGCAGGGATAGAGGAGGTCTCTCTTGCATTACCAAGACAGACCCACTCTGGACAGACTTCCTTATCTCAAGTAATCAGGGTCAGAGTACACAGTTGACATCCCCATCCCATACTTGTTTGTCGCGCAATGCACAGTTTTTGGTCAGGCTCACACAGGACTGGGCTCACAAACCCTCTCGAGGCATCGCCAATTCGTGTCTTAAAATGTCTTGAATGGTCTGGTGCAAAATATCCCAATGTCCATCCTAATGAATGAAGCTTTTCATGATATATTATGGGTAATACTTTGCATACAAGTCCTGTCGTGAAAAAAAATCTTAGTTTCATCTTTAAAAAAACACAAAAACAACATGATACAAATATATTACAAGATTCCACTTAATCACCGGTAATCTTGACCTTTTTATATTTTTGAAACTTTTCTAAAACTTCCATTGATCTGTTTCTAAGGAAATTATTTAGTCCCACCTAATTCAACTTATGAAACTTTGATGTCATCTGCTTTTGGGTACTTCTGCTTATCCATTCCAGTTCCACGGGATGCGGTAATATAGCAGTCTACAAATTATATATTTCCTTTTACAATGAAAAGAAGATGTTACATTTTTATAATTTTAATTATTCAAAAACTGAATACGAGAGAGATTATATTTGGAAAATAAGAACGAAATCAATACACTATGTAACATTGCTTCCGATGATAATATCCATATCTTTCTTGTAATACAGTAATATGTTTGCTGTAGGGAGCATCATGAATTATTCAGAAGTGCTCATTTCACCTCGTATCAGACCCAGAAAATGAGCGCTTCAGGGTCCTAAACGTATCCATGTTTGCGTCCCAAGAACCCGATGACACCAGTGGCGGCAATTTCTCACCATGGCCGGCATGGAGGGGGGGGGGGGTGGGGCTGGGATAGTTATGGCTCGTTCACATAATCGCGGGGAACGGCGAGCGAGAAATGTTTGCACGCAACAAATGTGAACACAGTTTTTCTTTTTAGTTATTGCGTTTTTATTTTTGTTCTTGTTGTTATTTTATTTTTTTGTTATTGATTTTGTTGTTGTTGATTTTTTTTTTTGGGGGGTGGGGGCGTTTTTCAGAATTCTTTGGATCGACCCCTTTAAGACTATCATGGGAAAAGCATCACTGTACCCTTAAACTACGGACCCTATATTTCATGTATGTTTAAACATACCCTATCGCAAATGTGTATTCTTTAGCTCACAAAATTAAAATTGTGTCTACGAATACTTCTTACAGATTCTCTACTTAATGCGAAAGTCAATTATGTTTATTATTATTAAGCGAGGGGGCGTACCACTAGGGTAAGAAGATTGCTTATTTTGCAATGGTAACTTATTTTACATTTGTTGCATTTCGAAATTCGAATTTCATTTGGACTATTGCCTCTGGAAAGTTTTCCCTATAGATACGTGGTTTTAATAGCCATCTCTCCCCCCTCTCTCTCTCTCTCTCTCTCTCTCTCCTTCCTCTTCTTCATCATCGCCTTCTCCTTCTACTTCTTCTCCTTCTTCTTCTTCTTCTCTCTCTCTCTTTCTATTTCTCTCTCTCTCTCTCTATTCGGATTTTGGAAACTCATACATAACCCAGATACCCCTCAACAATTTGAAGTGACATAATCATAGATATTTATATATATTTTTAAATCACAGCTGCCATTATTTTAAAGAGAAAGACAAAGAACTATCATTCTAAACTTTGAGAATTTCCGGTATAGTTGTAACTGCCAACGTTGTGATAATCGCTTCTAGATTTCATCTAACTCCTCTATTTATTCGCCTTGTTAGGGGTGATTATCATAATTGGGCCAAGCTAAGCATATTGCATCCCGTTCTTCCTACAAATTGCGTGGAGTATTAAGAAAACCAATTAGAGGCACATCAATTATATCTCAAAACAATATTTTTTTTGTGTAATTATCGACCCCCGTCTTGTTTTTGTTTTTTACAAATGCATAAAATAATATTGTTGTCCTAGATGACTGTGACTTTCTTTTATATACTTATTCGTTATTAACTCACTGGGGTTCCTTTTACATCAGTTCTCTGTCAAGCCTTGCTGTGAGTTTCCATGGTGTCAAAACTCATCATCCTTTGTTATGACTCGTCATAGTGTATCATCATGATTTTTATAACCAAGGATACATATTACATCCGTCGCTCCATGTTTCCTTTCCACATCTATCTGAAAAGCAAGTTTTTTAATTGGACATGTCAAGAAAATATGATACAACTAAACTAGCGAAGGGCTAATATAGGCGTTTACCATAACGTTTTTCCTTGCAAGCGAGGAGAATTTTAAAGAAAAATAATAATTCCTATCATGAGTATTGCCTTTGTAGGATCGATTATTTAGCTCAAAGGTGATTTGCGAAGGTCATGTTTTATTTTGTTGAATAAGTTTTTTTCTTTCTTGATGCCTCTATATGATATCGGTGCAAAACATAAATATAATGAAGCAGAGTTTCACTGTCTGTCCGGACAAATCTGTTTCTCTCTCTTGTGAAATTCAAAATTATTAAAGATTCCAAGAACGACTTATCTATATTATCTAGATCTTCATTTGTAAATAAATGATTCTTCCGTGACGATAGTCAATACATTAAAAAAGAGAATAAGCATGCGATTTTAACAACAACAAAAATATTAATAATAATTTCATTTCAACTCAATCTTCTCTGGTTTGTGTTGTAATTATATCTTTAGCTTTATCTTTCTGAGTTTTACCACGCTCGACATTAAAAACGGTTGCAAAATTGCAGAGGATATATCAGTTAATATTCAAACCTAATCCTCTTTTTTGAATTTATTTTGCAACATGGGCTTCGGCAACAAATCCATTGATTCATGTACATATTCAATATTATGCCGTTAATCACATTCCCGATTAGACTTGTCGCTTGGTAATCACTGTAACACATGATATCAAAGGTAACACGATAATATCACGACCAACATATATATCAGATAATTATTTTTGGGATGAATAATTTACCTTCAGAATTCAGACTAAGTTTCATAAGAAATAACACGGTTTGTAAGCAGCCATGCGAGTAACTCTGCAATTTACTGGTAGATTCAATTTTGAATTGCTTCACTTCAAGTTTTTAAAACATGTTCACATATCCCTGTTCGTACGAATTCCAGAGTTCGTAGAGATTCGTAGATTGGGCATAGCTTGTTACGTCCTTCTTACGGAGTTCGTACGAACGCCGTTAATTTGTTCGTTTTTTCCGCAAGAATGCCTTGAGTTCTTCTTACGTCAGACTTACGGCCATATTACGAGTTGTTTTTCTCGCAAAATGGTCATACGTGCAACTGACGGCATTCTCAAGTCATTCGTAAGATATAGCTGCATTTTTCATCAAAATAATACGATGCGCGGGGTTTAGAATGAGGCA